TAGTTGAATTAGGACTAAATTTTTAGTACCAATTATTTTCCAACTCTCTTCTCTTTTTTCTCTCCTTCTTCTTTCTCTCTCCTCTTCTCTAGGTCGCCTTCTCTCTTTTCTCCTTCTCTTTTCTCTCTCTCTTTCATCTCTGTCACTCTATCCTGTCACTCTAGTCTCTCTCGCTCATCTCTTCCCCTGCCTCTCTCTCGCTGCGCCGCGTGTTCACGTTCGGTATACCTTAGAGTGATCATCGAAAGCACATCAGCGCTAAATCGCTAAACAGCGTCATCTATTACGGGGGGAGCGGTTTTTTATATAAACTCCCCTTCCCACCACCAGCCACCACCAGCCACCAGCACCACCGAGCACCAACCAGCACCACCCCGATTGCCGAACAAGTGAATAAGTGCACTGGACCTGGGCCACTGTTCTTCAGGAACGTCGCGATAACCAATTTGGTGAGGCATGATTTAAGTGGAAAGCAAGCGCGGTTATTTAAATGGCTTCCTGGTATGCCCAGGCGGGGTTTCGGTCCCTCCCTGCCTCCTTGCCCTCGCTCCCTCCCTTCCCCTGCCTGCCACCCTCCCTCCTCCCTGCCTGTCTGCCTGGCCTGCCTGCCTGCCTGATCTGCTCTGCCTGCCTGCCTGTCGCTTGCCTTGCCTGCTTCCCTGCCTGCCTTGCGTGCTTCGCCTGCCTGCCTGCCTGCCTGCCTGCTGCTGACCTGCCTGCTGCTTGCCTGCCTGCCTGCCTGCCTTGCCTGCTTGCCTGCCTGCCTGCTTGCTGGTTGCCTGCCTTCCTGCGCTGCCTGCCTGCTTGCTGTCTGGCTTGTTGCCTGCCTGCCTGCCTGCCTTATTCCCTCCTGCCGTGCGCCTGCCTGCCTAGCCTGCCGCCGAGCGCCCTCCCTGCCTGCCTGTCTGCCCGCGCTGCCTGCCTGCCTGCCTGCCTGCCTTGCCTGCCTGCCTGCCTGCCTGCCTTGCCTGCCTGCCTGCCTGCCTGCCTGCCTGTCTGCCTATCTGCCTGCCTGTTTGCCTGCCTGCCGCCGCCACACATCCCCGTCTATATATCCTGGTTTCTATCGTTCGTGTAGAGGGAGAAAAATTTAACAAAGAAAACAAGACGCAATGTAAAAAAAAATTCGATAAAACGAGAACAAGAAGCGGCTAAAAATCGAACAAAAAACGAATGGTTGAAAAAAATAGAACGATAGATTTGACAGAGAAATCGAACGTGTAGGTTAACAAGCACGCGCAAGGAAAATACTCCGTGGAACTAGCATGCTGCTATAGTTAGAACCTCTTGGCGTGCTCAAGAGACAGAGGGCGTGGTTACGCGGGTTGAAGAAGTAGTCTCTGATGAGGGTAATCATGTAAATCAACAACTCCAGTATGTACCGTAAATGGCGGCCTGCAAATACGCGATTCGAGATGCCCTGCTGATACTTCGTTGTTTGAGTGGAACATGGCTTACGAGAACATGGCAGAATGCAATATTTGTCTTTCTTTTTCAATCTTTTGCTATCTTTTGCAATCTATGACTAGTGGTATCATTGCTACTAACAGGGAAAAGAATGTTATTTCATAGATAGTGGCTTGTGTTTGTGTTTTGCATTGTGCTTTCGACAGTTTTCGTGTTTATTGTCTCGAGCTTGTGCAACATCACGTTCATCCCCAACCCCCAAAAAAACAGATATCTATTTTTCTTAAATTATTCTTTTTCAGTCAGTCTACGAAGATACACCCTGGTTAATATCGTTGGGTTGATATGCTACGCAATATAGTCAGCCACCAAAAACCTGCCCACGGCGTAGGAACCCTAGGCTGGGTTTACCGCGGTAACTTTCAGACTACGTGTGAATTCGCCTAGCTATCGCTGTGGTGGTGATTGACTTTGGATGACATTTAAACGATTTCCCAACACATCCTCACGTCTCGCTGGCCGCAAGATAATTTACATCGCGTCTGGTGAACCTTGTAACTTATAAAGTGCTCTCTAAAATGGTTAGTTTTTTAGCAACATATATATATATATATATATATATATGTGTGTGTGTGTGTGTGTGTGTGTGTGTGTGTGTGTGTGTGTGTGTGTGTGTGTGTGTGTGTGTGTGTGTGTGTGTGTGTGTGTGTGTGTGTGTGTGTGTGTGTGTGTGT